TCGACTATCACACACTATAGTAATGTTAACGGAAGTACCAACAATGTGTGACTAGTACAAGAATATCGATTATCAACACACTATAGTAATGTTAACGGAAGTACCAACAATGTATGACTAGTACAAGAATATCGATTATCACCACACTATAGTAATGTTAACGGAAGTACCAACAATGTGTGACTGGCACAAGAATATCGACTATCAACACACTATAGTAATGTAACGGAAGTACCAGTGAGTATGAAGATAAAGGGCAACAAATCTAATCTGGTATGTTATCTAGGCCGTAGGTATCTGAGAACGACAAAAAGAAAAGTTTATGACAATGTTTGTCAACAATGGGTTCAGAAGAAACTGTTGTACGAAGAATTCTTCAAAAGGTTCTGTTTAATGTTAAACAGAGGAAGTTATCACTAGTCAGATTAAATGTATTACCTTATGATATACAGAAAAGTGTTTCTGTGTTAAAATAATATGACGTCACAACAAAAACTACAACTAGGTGTCTCTAAATGAAAGTGTTCTGACATATTTTTCATTTAAAGCCAACTTTTTATCATCTAAAGTCCAATGATTATATTTAATGTCAAATATCTAAAACTTTAAGTCAAATGTTTATAAGTTTAAGTCAAATGTTTATAATAAAAGTCAAAGTGCAATACTTTTATGGGATTTGTTTACGGTACCTGTTTTTAAAGCATCTTGTTATAGGCCTAGCCCCTCTCCCTTCCATTAATAAGCACAGTTTTCTTGTATCTATATTTAAAAAACTCCATAGGCAACACGCCCGTATGGAAGCAGTATGTAATTTTAAAATTCAGCTTTTGTCACAGGATGATTAACAGGATGTAAGTTATCAAGAAACTTCACAAGAAACCCGCTGTGCCTAACCTTGTTGACCTTTCTTTATCTGCTTCTCGAAGTACATAGGTAGCGCTTCTCAACATTCACGTGCTTTCCGTAAGAGAAAGGTGTCAATCGATGATAAGTTCTGTACGTGGCCACGAGGGAACGTGATTGTTCGAAAAAGAACTGCCGTGTTTCACAAACTTGCGGTTGCCAGAACATTTAGGGAAACGCAGCTTTTCAGACACGTGGTTACAACTAGCCAATATTTTCAGCAGAAGACATACAGCAGACATCTCACAGAAATGTACTTTATCAGATATTTTCCCTAACTATCGTTGGACTGGTCTACCTACAAGGTATAGTTTTTCTGATATCACTCAAATGATCATAGTGTATATATTATGGGATATTTTTCTGTATTGTACATTTATTTACCACGGAACTATGAACCTAACTGTATCCAGAACAGAAGCTTAGCAATGAAACTGTCTAACATACAGTACGTAGTAAAAAAACGTGACAACTAACCTGTCTATCAGTACGTAGTAAAGAAACGTCACAATTAACCTATCAGTACGTAGTAAAGAAACGTAACAACTAACCTGTCTATCAGTACGTAGTAAAGAAACGTCACAATTAACCTATCAGTACGTAGTAAAGAAACGTCACAATTAACCTATCAGTACGTAGTAAAGAAACGTAACAATTAACCTGTCTATCAGTACGTAGTAAAGAAACGTAACAATTAACCTGTCTATCAGTACGTAGTAAAGAAACGTAACAATTAACCTGTCTATCAGTACGTAGTAAAGAAACGTAACAATTAACTTGTCTATCAGTACGTAGTAAAGAAACGTACAATTAACCTGTCTATCAGTACGTAGTAAAGAAACATGACAATTAACCTGTCTATCAGTACGTAGTAAAGAAACGTGACAATTAACCTGTCTATCAGTACGTAGTAAAGAAACGTAACAATTAACTTGTCTATCAGTACGTAGTAAAGAAATGTAACAATTAACTTGTCTTTCAGTACGTAGTAAAGAAACGTAACAATTAACCTGTCTATCAGCAACTAGTACAGAATGGACGTAGAAAGACTGTAAACATTTGAAACTCGTTATATAAGTGAATCTAAAAAGATTAAAGCTTCATCTAGTTTACAAATTTACAAGGTTATCAGAAAAAAAAAATCTATTAATCTTGATCCCGCCACACTTTTAAAACTAAAGGCTTAAAAGACAACAAGGAAGAGAGAAGTCTGGTTACTTCGTGTTGCATAATTCTTAGAATCTACTGATTATAGCTCCATGTCCTAAGTACATTCCGTAAGTGTGGTAAGACAGATGTCGCCACTATCAAGTTTCGAATAAATCATACGTGAAAAAGAGACAATATTGGAATATTAAGCGTCTTGTCGTGGTATTAACGTTGAGAAACATCAGGGGCTTCTTCCAAAAAATAAGTGTCTCCCGTAAACACACATCCGGGTTAATCTTCTGTTTTGTAAGCTGTGAAAAGCAACAGCTGGACAGTTTCTTTTAGTCGTGAGCGTGTCTTTGTTTTTTGTCCCAGTTTTGTATCGGATATCAATAGGCTTGGCCTTCATTTCATGGTCCGCATACGCAAATCTAAAAACTTGTTCGTTTTTAACCATAAGAGAGGTTCATGTTCTTGTTTATTTCTAAAAGACGATATTAACAAAGAATTTGAGAAGAAACTGTCAGTGAAAGGAATTCTTCCCTTTGTTTATATTTACTAAAGTAGACTCCCGAAAGGAAAGTTCAAATTAAAAGTTAGTTTCGCCAATCTTTCACAAAGTTAGTTCTGTTCTTTTCTATACAAGCTAGTAAGTGAATCGTTTATAATGAACGTAGCTCGAGTAATTTTCACTTTATTCCACAAGGCATGACTTACATCACTACATACTTCGTTTTCTACATTAGTAGAAGTCCTGTAGAAACAGCGGCATCACTTACATCACTACATACTTTGTTTTCTACATTAGTAGAAGTCCTGTAGAAACAGCGGCATCACTTACATCACTACATACTTTGTTTTCTACATTAGT